ATGTAGACAAAATAGACGGTTAGACTCCCCTACCATTGACAAGCAGCTTCGGAGCAACAACAATTCCCCTCGCACCTCCTCACCTTCAGCCCGTGCCCAGACACAAAATGCGCTTAAATTCATAAACTAACGAATATGCACACCCACCACCCTGGGCTTGCATTCAGAAAGTAAAATAATCAGCCCTCGTGGCTACTACCTCCGTACCTCTCATGACTCCTCTCCCATGAAATAGGAGATCTTTCTGCCATCATACGGAGACTAAAAAGAACAAAGTATTGATATCAACACTGTAACGCCTTAAGACTTCTCCGAAACAGAATATTTCACTGAATGTACAAATTATTCTTTTATTGTACTTTGTTATTGCCTAACTCTAATGATGTGATAAATACCCTTAATGCCAATTCTTTATGACCTACCTACCAAAAATCTAAATTTTCATAAATAAATAATTTATTTAAAAAATAGATGCTTAGTAAAAAAAAAAAAAAACTTTAATAATTTTGTAGTCAGTTTACTGAACTTGCTACTTGCATCATTTAGCAATTCAGTTGTAAATTCACTATGATTCATCACTTAGTGAATAAACCATTCAGTAGATGGTGAGCTATGGTCATATTATTCTTGTCATTCAATATTTGAATACAGCTTTGAAGTATGATTTTATTTAACAGCCTATAGCATTTCTTGGACTGTATTCTATGTCCACAGATAAATAATGAAAAATACATTTCCTAATACATTTTAATTAAATTAAATGTTATTAAGTTACCAGTGATAAACACAAACCCCTAGAGCAGGCACACAACAATTTCTACATGAAGTTCTGTTTCATGGTATATATAGTTTACATAAATGTATATTGTAATTCATTTTGTGTAACTTGGCTTATGTAACCCTTTAAAACCCTTTAAGGCCATTAAAACTTGTATAATTATGAAGTACTAATATGGAACGTTATTATGGGTTCAAACATTTATTATGCTATTTACTAAAATGAGCATTCAAAGCTTAAATAGAAAATCCACTTCTAATTCACCTCAAATTCTCATTTTAGTTAATAGCCCTGTCTGGCTTATCTTTGAAATAGAAGTAAAGGAGCAAAGCAATGTTCACTTGGTGGGTTTGTACAGTGTTGGTATTCTATAACAGGTGTTAGAGTAAATTTTTACATTGTTCTTTGACCTGTTTCTTATTGTAGTAACAGAATCAGCTTGCTCAATAATTGAGACTTCTATGTCTCAATTATTATTGACATTTTTTCCAATTCAAGATCAATAGAAAATGTGGGAGAGACACAAGTGAAAAAAATAACTGTTATTATTAAAAATTAAAAGTATTTTACCCATATTTTAAAATAAGATGTTAAAATTCCTTAAAAACATTGTCTTAATCTATAGATTTTAAGTATTTTACAAGTTACTTTTCATTGGAAAACGCAACTTGATTCTCAACTCACAAGTAATGAGTAAACTTATAAAAGGGTTGTCAAAAATACTAGTGTGAATATCTCAAAACTATAATTTAATCAGAATGGAAAGCATATAAATAAAACCATATTTCAGATAACTGTATTAGCTGGAAAATTTGACCAAGGAGGGTGAACGTCTAAAAGCATGATGAGGTCATCTTGAGATATTTATTGTGAGTTTAACCTGAAAAACATCCAGTCTAAGCAATCTTATATATTTTTTTCTTTTTGTTAAATTGGAAGTTCAAAGGTATTTTATTTTGCTACAAATCCCAGCATTTTTCTGCCTGTAAAGGGGTTTCAAGAGACTTTAATTGAGTGATTGTATTACTTACGTGGTGAAAGGAAAATTAGCAGTTCACTGCGATTCATGCTTTTGACATGAGTTTCTCTGGAGCGCTACAGAAAGATTTAGCATGAAATTAGAAAACTTAGAATTGCTGTTGAAAGCAAAAGTGAAATTCTATGCTCCATTCTTACAAATCATCGAGTTGCATTAAAATTTAATGCAGAATAACAATAAACACAGAAAGAGAACTTCAACCTGGCGTACTGAGAGAAAACAAACTGAGCAAATTTGGACACAATATACAGAATCAACTATCAAATGTGCTCTCAAAAACTTAAACATAATCGTCAAATAACTAAACTAATTTTCTCTGAATTTGGTCTCCCAAGCTCTTGTGTGCCAACAAAGCATTAGGCGTGCACTGTATAAGAGACATCAGAAGATGTTCCACTGCAAACATTCATAAATTAAATAAAGCAAATAAAAAATGCATGTGACATTCATACAGCATGCTTTTTGATATTTTTGTTGTCATAGAAATACTGACGGCTGCTGTTAGTTCTGCCTTTATTTCTGCTATTCTCATTTGTAAAGTTTATGGTTGTTAACCAGAATTCCAGCTGTATTTTGATTGATTCACTAAATAGTTAAAAAATAACACAGACATTTTTTTTTCATATTTCTTTCCCATCTTTCCTTTCAGTCAATCAGAACTTCAGAGCTTCTCGCATCTGTAGCCCCAGGCAATGAGCACAGCTTAGTGAATAATGGCCTTGATAGAGCTAGAAGGCGGGCTTAGGTAGAGTATAGGTTGTGATTGGGAGATGGATATTGAGGGCTGCGCTGGTATAAATAGGGCATCCATTTTGTATTTTATCACTACTAATTAGCTTACCTGTTGGGTTGATCTCTCCCTCCCTTTAATTAATTATCCGAGGTTCATTGTCCTGTTTTGTCACAGCAGCTGGGCTGGCAAGATGAAGGTTCGGGGGAAATGTTCTTAGTTAGTATTAGAAATCTTGTTAGTTAGTCAATTAACAGAGTAGTTGGTTAGAATGTGGTTTCATATTGTTGATTAAAGGTTTGGTAGATTTCGAGCTCTTCGGTAGCTCAGAACCCAGTGGGTGTAGGGGTATCTCTGTATACCCTCACCATGGTTTTTTAAAGCACATTTATAGTTATAGGTTAATTACTGTTATATTGTTAAGGTTATTGTTATAGATATGTGTCATTGCCTTTTATGACAATGTGAGATATGTTATATTGTATTTCGGGGCTAGGGGCAATGACTTTATTTATGTTTATGTTATGATTTATGTATTAAAACTGTGGATATATTTGACCCATACTTCAATAGTGTTCGTGCTTTATTGGAATGGGTTTTGTTGAGTTTTTATTCCACCTGTCCATATGGTGACAATGCAACTGTCAAGTAAAATAGGGGTATCAGTTACACCTTGTTGATGAGTCCCATCTAAGGGCAACGCAATCACCTGTAGTTTCTAGCCCTCTTGTGCAGACGGGACTTGCTGGCATTGACGTTCTGACTGTCCTATGAGTTTTTGCCAAATCTTGGTGTTCTAACATAGAAACATAGAAACATAGAAACATAGAATGTGACGGCAGATAAGAACCATTCGGCCCATCTAGTCTGCCCAATTTTCTAAAAACTTTCATTAGTCCCTAGCCTTATCTTATAGTTAGGATAGCCTTATGCCTATCCCATGCATGCTTAAACTCCTTTACTGTGTTAACCTCTACCACTTCAGCTGGAAGGCTATTCCATGCATCCACTACCCTCTCAGTAAAGTAATACTTCCTGATATTATTTTTAAACCTTTGTCCCTCTAATTTAAGACTATGTCCTCTTGTTGTGGTAGTTTTTCTTCTTTTAAATATAGTCTCCTCCTTTACTGTGTTGATTCCCTTTATATATTTAAATGTTTCTATCATATCCCCCCTGTCTCGTCTTTCCTCCAAGCTATACATGTTAAGATCCTTTAACCTTTCCTGGTAAGTTTTATCCCGCAATCCATGAACCAGTTTAGTAGCCCTTCTCTGAACCCTCTCTAAGGTATCAATATCCTTCTGAAGATACGGTCTCCAGTACTGTGTACAATACTCCAAGTGAGGTCTCACCAGTGTTCTGTATAATGGCATGAGCACTTCCCTCTTTCTACTGCTAATACCTCTCCCTATACAACCAAGCATTCTGCTAGCATTTCCTGCTGCTCTATTACATTGTCTGCCTACCTTTTAAGTCATCAGAAATAATCACCCCTAAATCCCTTTCCTCATATGTTGAGGTTAGAACTCTATCAAATATTCTGTACTCTGCCCTTGGGTTTTTACGTCCAAGATGCATTATCTTGCACTTATCCACATTAAACATATCTTGGTTACTGATGCCACATATCATATTGTGTCTCTCTAAGTGTCCATAACACTTATTTTACTCCTCAGGATAATGATGGTTTAGCATGTTTTTTCCCTGATGCCTCATCATTTTCCCCACTCTAATATCATTTGACTTTAAGTAAATCTGTAAAAATGTTTTCAAAAAACAGATATTTCCACTTTTCTTTTTTTTTTTTTTTTTTTTTTTTTTTTAATTTTGCATATCAACAATGCCACAACAGCAATCGCAATCAATTTACAGACACTTATTTGTCAACTGTTGTACAGCATAGAGGAAACGCACACATTTTTTTTTAGGGTAATAATACAAGTTAAGTACAAGCTTAGTAACTAAGTCTGTCTTTTTGAATTACATTGTCGATTAGTACCAGTAGCTTAGGGTTAATATTTATGTCGCGTGTCATCGCTTCAATATCTAGACATTGACATGGTTATGCCTGACTATGCTTAAGTGAGAGACATACATTTTGTACAGTAACAGTTGGTCTAAGTAGTCGTGACATGCAGTAGTTGAGACTGTGAGTTTGCATTTTAGGTTATAATAGATTATGCAGTGCTGACTAACAAAATATATCTATTTCTATTAAGGTTTCCAACTTTAGCTAAGATTCTCATTAAAGTAGGGTGCCACCAGGCAGAGCATCATACATTCAGTTATTTCCTTCTATACATATAAAGCTCAAGTAAAGATGAACTATATACAGGGTCATATGCAGAGGATATGCACGTTATTCAATGACTGCAACTACAGTGATATCTGGTATAGCTATTCATGTCATACTATATATTGTGCTTCTTATTATGAACGGCTGGGGTCACCATCAGCTCCAGCCCAGCGCAAAGCCTGAGGTAATCTGGTTGTGTTCCATGCCCAGGTGTGGGGTGAGTCCCTTGATATTACCCCATGAATTCCACTTGTTCCTAATGTCCCGGTTGTTGGGTAGGTTTGCCATGTCTTGCGAGCCTTGATGTATTGTCGAGGGCTATAGCACCATGCGGTCAGTGGGTAAAGCTGGGTGTTCTGTTTGTTCTTCCAGCCCTGGTCGTTAGTGGAGCTTGCTTGCAGAGTGCCCTTCTGGGGTTGCCGCTTTGAGATGGGCATGTGGAGGAAATGCTGGCTGTGGTGGTTCTCATTTGTCAGCTTGTATGTTCCAGGGCTGTTACGTGGGGGCTATTTCCACTTTTCAACTAACAATCCGTATGTTGCCCCCCCACCACACACACACACACACCCCTCTATTATGCTGGCATTTCCTTGCAGCAATTTGTATTCTGACACAATGCTAAGCACTGTGGGACACTGCATTGTGGTTTATGAGATGGATCTAATTTCAAAACAAAAGCATCCCAGCCACACCTTTGCTTCTGTAAGTTCTTCTTTTAAGGCACCTTAGCACAGCTGCATTACTCTCAAACAATATGTTGAGCTACACTCTATACATAAGAGGATTTGAGTTTCTTTTTAAATCATACGTCAGGTGCTCTATGATGCTGAGCTCTGTCTAATCAGCTCTAATCCAGTTTAAAAGAATTATTCATAGTTTTCATGAAATTAGAATTGCAAGTAATATTGTTCGCTTTAGCTGGGGTATTCTACTGCACTTTAGAGTTAAAGCTTCACCTATAAGTTCTGTATAATCAGCATGTTTATTTTGGTGAGTAGAGGCTGTAACCCATGAGCATCAAATCATTGGACATTTTTATTAATTTGTGAAGGTTAAAATAGTTAAATTATAATATAACAATGCTGTTGAAAATTGAGTCACATCGTCAATATGTTAGTACACATGCACATTCCTAACATACAATCTATTCAATAAGAATGTAAAATTTACAAAATAAGTATTAATGTATCAAAAAATAGTTTATTTAATAAATATCATGTATAACTGGGTCATGTATAAAAACAAATAAGTAATAGCTACTATATTGGACTGAAGAGCTCAATTCAAATGCTAAATGAATGAAGTAAAACAAGTTTAATGAGTGATAATATTAGAGACTTTATTTGAAAGTTGTTGCTACTATTGGACATTTGTAGCAGAGAGCTAGTATTTCATAGCCTACCTCCACTTGTCGATCCCAGTGAGGCTCAGGAACAAGTAATTATAAATCCATAGGCAAGGTATCCAGCAGGTAAAACAATACAGCAGTATCCCAACAGCACTCCCAATAACTGGACTACACACAGTATCAGGAGCAGAACTAAAGGTTTATTCACACAGTGGCCTTATAAAGCATGCTCCCATGCAAGGGAGGGATTTCCATTCATTAGTACAGTAGCCAATCCTGTTCTGGTAACCTCCCACACATCTCCTCCCCTCAGTCTGCATCATAATCCCCTTATCCAGGACACCAATTCCCCCTCGTTTCTGGATGTACCCCTAAACCTAGGGGTACCGCTTTAAATGATAGATCCACTGGTAGCCCTGATCTGGGTGAACAACATATCCAAAAATCACCCAGATCAGACCAGGGGTTCGGGAAATTTATGGAGGGAATAAAAAGACCGACCGCGTTGGAGAGAATAGCCAAATTGCGATGGGGCCCTGCGGTCGATCCTGGAAAAAGGGAAAAAATTGTGCGAAAGCCTCTAGTTACAGAGACCAGGGAGGGTTCACCTGAATCCCCTCGTTCGGTTATTTCTGTCTACTGAACGAGGGGCCGTTCGGTAGTTTGGAACCGAACGGACCGGGCTTGTGGAGGTTTCAGCGGTGTTCGCCTAGTCGAGTGTCTGATTTGGGTTCCAGACACTCGACGGCAAAACACCGCTGTTCGGAAGTTTTAAAATGGCCGCCGCCACGTGTACGTTTCCCGAATGGCGGCCACCCCCGAGAACAAAGAGCTTACTGCCCAGCTTGTCAATTACCCGTTCGCAACAATGTTGCAACAGGTAATTGAGGGCACACTTCACACCGGGGAGGTCTGACTGTTCGGTAGTTTCATTCCCTTATTTGTTAGAATGATTCTACCGAACAATCAGACGAATACAATACATTTCTACACATATAACTTTGCCATTTACACGAATGCAGTTAAAACCTATACAATTCCCAGGACAGCCCAGATCCATCCGCTACAACATTCATTATGGTTTAGGTAACCATTAGTGGATTTCTAAATAAGATTAAGGAAACACTGCAAGCACCATAATCACTACACTGCTTAGGAACTTCCATCTCTCCAAAGTTGGTAGTAATGGCAGGGAGCAGCACCAGAGAGCCCCAGTTAAGAAGTCAAACTGTTCAAAAGCAGTGCCAGGGCACTTCCAGCACTATATCCATTACATTTCACTTGTACTTGGAGTGTAATAACTTTACATAGACCTGAGAAGCTTCTATGCATGGTGTTGGAATTTAAATTTACTGGTTTTGTCTTGCAGTAAGGTGAGTACATATATTAAGTAATTAATCATATAGGAAATAATAGTTTTATAGCCCATTTCAAGAAATATGAAAAATTATGAAAACAGTAAAATCCATCACAATTCTATTGCATAGGTTATGATTTATACATACTTAACTCCTAAATGCCACACATTCATTCTGTAGAAAGGCTTGAGTTATGTAGCAGAAATTTCACACTGAGTTCAACACACTGGTGATTGTCAAGGGATCTGTCAACATTCTGTGACGCTTGTGAAACTGATGCGACTCTTTATAAACAGCAGTGTACTAGGAAGGGATTGCGCTTCTAATGTATTCTGAAAATCTGAAAGTGAGTATAACCAGGAATGACAGCAAGCCAATAACTGGCAAGAGTCATGTAGTTTAAAATAGCTTTGCATCTTGCAATAAAACTCCTAGAATAATCATCAAAAATGTTAGTTGAAAGACTGGACGACAGTTCCTCCCAAGGAGATTCCACCTTGGATGCATCTGTACTGATGTTTTATTGATTATTCTCTGGCCTTAAGGCACTTTAGATAAAACCCATAGAAAATTCCTGCTTTCCTTCATTACCACTGGAAGCGATTGATAGGCAACTGCAATAGTAGTTTGGCAGCATCTGTTCTGATCTGATCATGATGACAAGAAGAGCATCATAGACTGGGTGAAGTAGAAAGAGAAGCAGCTGCTTCTGATTGCCTGACCATGTTGGCACTGCGGTTTAATGCCAAACTTCATGGAGTGCAACATCCTCATGTCACCTAAAGAATATACAGGTGTTACACTGCAGGGCATTGGCAGAAGTCATGCCCTGGTATAATGTATGCATAAAACATTCTGCAGCACAGTAAGACTCTGTAAACATACATGTGCATTATTGTAGTTGGAAAAGTGTCAGAGAAAGTTTATTGAATTAACAACTAAACTCCAGCACCTAATAGAAAGGCACTGTGTGACAATATTGTATTCTTTACTCACATGCCTGCTTTTTTTCATTTTTTTTTTTCTGTTTTTGACAACTTAGAATTCAATTATATTTTACAGTTTGTATTCAGTATAAGACAAGCAATTGATAAATAAGAACACGGGGCATACACTATTAAAATGTGAGGATAACTAAAATTACATGTGTATTGTGCTTCGTTTCAATTGAATTTTTTTATTTACTATGCCACCTTTAGTCAAAAACATTTTCAAACATAAAAATTAAAACTTGGTATGCTATGAAACAAAAAAAAAATAACCGAGACCTGCTTGAATGCAGACAGACCCAATCGTTGCTTCCTAGTCGCCTTGAGTACCATAAGCACCGTACCGGACACCATGAGCACCGTAACCCCTTAGCCGCCGCAGCTTGGCTGGGTTCTCGCCGTCCCTTCCAACCCTGGACCAACTCTTGGATCACACTCTCAGTGGGAAGGCCTCTCCTCCAAGAGAGTATAGATGTGAAGCTCTTACAAGAGCTAGTGGTTATAGCCTGTATAGTAATCCAAAGAACAATCCCAGGAGTAGGGATTATAACTGGTATAGCTGATATAGCTGTTCCCTACAATCACGAGACGAGGCTGCGTGTTGAGGGTAAAGAGGAACTCAATTTTAATGGTGCCACACTGACGTTCTATGACAATCCCCATGCAAGGGGTACGCCCACATGGACCTTGTTGGGGACTCCAACACAAAGACACAGACCAATAAGAACAGTGATTAAATGCACGACACTCCCATAACAAACATACAATCCCTCCTCTCTGCCTGGGAGATGATTGAATCAGATACTGAATCAATTAAATTATATCCAGGCAGAAAAAACACATATTTAAAAAAAAAAAAGTACCCCAAAACACATATAATCCCCACAATTGTTACATCCCCTGATAGCCTTGATCTATTCGCGGTTTTGGTCTATGCAAACAAGATGGCCGCCACCTCGTGGCCCGCGGAAAAATTGCCATCCCTCATATTTCTTTCCCCCCCTACCCTCAACCCCTCCGTGCATCACTTTCTTGCACTCCAGCCCCTCTATGTGTTTCATTCACGCCCCACAGGGTGAGTGTGGTTAGGTTGGGAGGGATGAGTATGACAGAATTGGAGGGGTTCATGTGATAGTAAAGAAGTAAAGCAGACAATAGTGTATGATACAAATATAAAATAATAATAATCAAAAAGAATCAAACAAAAATTATAAAGACAACATTTTAGCTTACCCAGACTTATTCTTAAAAATTAAATGAAAACACTAATTTTGACATTATTGCTGATCAGAAGATGGAGGCAAATACAAATTAAAATTATGTAGATTATTTAGCATTTATCTTTGTATATATTCATACTATTATTCTAAAAAAATTACTTAGCTGATTACCGTTTGAGTCTAGATCTATCTCTCACTTTTCCTGATTAGTTTAAAACCACTTTTAAGGAAAACTCCCATGTCGCTCTCTTGGTAACTACTCTTATTAATGCTATTATCATTTCAACGTGATCCATTTCCAAGCTTTACATCAGCAAATATTCCTCCTTCTTATGCAAGTACTGATGTACTATGCACTTTGTATCAAGTACAAGAGAACTGACTAAGTGAGTGAGGCATCCTTCCATGTAAATGATTTGAGATGTCATAATTATCCCAAGACTATTAGGATTTTCATAGTTAAAAATGTGTACTGCTTTCATTAGTCTGTCCAACAATACACCATTTAATAATACTAATAAA